TGTGCCTTTTTGTGTGTGACGCTGTTTCAGGAGTTTTCCTTGGAGATTTGCTTGTAGGGCAAATGAGAGGAACAGGAAGGAATCTGTATGTGAGATCTGCCGTCGACGTTTATGTAGTAATAGTACAGGCAGGGAACGTACAGAGGAGCACACATCCCGGTACGTCCCAGCCACGTGATGTGGGAAGTAAGATCCCCGCAGTAAACGTTTATTGTGAGTTGTGTAGTTAGCGGAAATTAGGAAGCATGGATAGATACATAGACAGGCAGACAGATACATGAGTGGATAGACAGATAGGTAGACTGATCCGTACGAAGGTATTTTATTCTTTACCAGAAGAGGAGGAGTTTGGGGGGGAAGCGTTCTTGTTTTCTCTTTCCTCCTCTTGCCGTCTACTCTGTGGATTATCGGTAGTAGAAGTGGTTGTGGTGTTACCTATGAAATAGCTAAGAAATGCAAAGGGAATTGAACCCTTAGAAAACTATGATTTTTTTTTTTTTGCTTTTGAGCTTCCGTCTAAGAATTCAATCAGTTCACCTGGGGCCCAGAGAAGGAGTAAGGGGACTTTCCAAGGGGCGCTTGTCCCTATGAAGCTGCCTTTCTACGCATCAGCCTTGGCAGGTGCTCCCGAGGACTTTAACTCTTGTTTAAGTGGAGCAGAAACTTGACATCTCTGGAGCACCTCGAAATATGCACGTGTGTGGTGCCGTCATGTTGTCCTTTCATCGGCATCAGTATCTTCTTAAGGGACAAGTACCCTGAATGCAATGTCAGCGATTCCTTTAAAAGGCCTGATGTCATAATGCCATTCCCCAGGGAGAGCATTGTTTATCCCTTAGGAGATTCCGAAGCCAGCTCTGTTTCCCACTAGGGGTTCAGATGATGGGAAAAAGCATACACATACACAGACACTCACGCATGCCCACTTATGTGTGTCTGCGTCTGTAATACACGTGTATATATAGTATGTTACGTATGCACATATTTTACATTATGTGTGTATATGCGGATGTATATCATATTCAGTGTGTATATATATATATATATATATATATATATATATAGTATATAATGTGTTGGTGCACGGAATATATGCATATGTTCACAATAAGTGTATATAGGACATGCATCTATATGATGTAGGCATTTGAGTATCTGCTTGTATATGCGTGCACTGTGTGTATCCTGTATACACAAATGTGTTGACACAGAAGCTTACTTTGTTTTTTGGAATCCGCTTCTTACACTGGAGCTGGGAATGCTGTGCTCACGGAGGAAGCTGTAGAATGGACGCCCTTTGGTTTGGGAACCTGTCTGTCTTGTTTGCAGTGCTTGTATAATGATGTTCTGGAGTTAGACTGTCTGTGTCACCGTGTGCATTGTGACACAAATCCATATGGATGCGTATTGCGTCGCCTGCAGGGCACCTGTTCAAAAAAGTAAGATGCATAATAGCATCTGGACTGAAGCCCCATTTGGGGGAAACCGAGATAAGAGACTGTTTTTGAGCAAAGGAACTGTCGACTGTGATTTCTGTTGGGTAGCTGGGACGTTGGGGGAAAAAGAAGGCTGAATATAGGTTACTTTTTACTGTGAGCCATCTGGACTGTGATTATAATTTTTTTTTCTACTACGTGCATCTATTACCATTTAATAAAGGGTATAGTTAAAATAGACGTTTTTTGAACATGATATATTCATTAATATGTTCAACTTTTGTCCACAATTTTTCATTTTACTTTTGTCTTTATGGAATTAAATAAAGAAAAACCATGCTCCACTCTTTAGGATAGTATGTGGACTGTGGAAGAGGCGTTTCTCTTTATCTTAAGGATGATTGGAAAACATATTTTGGGGTGGATGTTTTAATGTTAGTAGGTTTTGCTTCAGAAGCTGATTTGCTTTAGAAATTCTTACTGCTCCTTTGGAGTGTTTTTCAGCTACTCTTAGAAGTCAGAATCAGATAATCAGAATGAAAGGAGATCGGCTGAGCGGCTCAGTTGGTTAAGAACTCGTTCAAGAGTGCGAGCTCTGAGCAACAGGGTCCCGGTTTGATTTCCGGCCCGAGCTGAGCTGCNAAAACATTTTACTAATTTTTCCTGTAGAAACGATGCTGTGTGTTACATGAGGATCACCTTCTAAAATGCTCGCTCTAGCACCGGTGGCCACCCAGCTCCTGTGTTCTTTGGAGACTAGTCAAATCAGTCTGCGGAGAGTGTGCTCAGAGTCTGCCACTCTCGACATCGTCTTCTGCCCTGCCACCCGTCAAACGGCCCCACTTGTCCCTGTGTGTTCCTGATCCCACCCGAAGGACTAAGCAGAGAAAACACAATAGGAATCATGACTTTTTCAAACATATAGGCCAGTTCATCAGACTGTTTGCAAGTCACTGCATCGTCCTTTTACCATACAATTCCCATTCCATGTGTGTTTTCCCTCGAAATTTCTTAGAGAAAAATAAGGATGCACAAAGGAGATTAGTTCTGCTGTGTTCCCTTCCTCACTCAGCCAGCTTCTCAAGAAAGAATGAAGTCACTGATAAACCCATTGGCATAGCATCCACCCCTTCCCATGGATTCATGAAGGAAGGAATAAACGAATGGAGGATGGAAATAATAATCATAGTCTCTGATGGGGACTACCCTTGCTTCGGCAAATTTGTCTTTGTCTAGCATTGGAGTAGATGTTGGGTGTCATGACACATGCTGACCAATGTTGAGTAACAAAGAATATAAGTGGGGTCAAACTGAGTGGTGTGGCCACCAGAAAGTTTTACATGATGTCAAGAAGGGCACCCAGCACGGTTCCACCTGCATTGTGGTCAGGAGCCATTTCAAATCCTGGGTCACCTGCTCATGAGCTGCATGATCTCAGCTTTCTCAACTGCTCTCTGAAAATTAAAACGCTACCGACCTCACAGGGCATGTGTGGAAATTAAATGAGATAAAGCTGT